ATTTCAGACCTATCCTGAAAATGTTATGACAATCCGTCCATAACTTTTTCAGTTAGGCTCTACACAAAGAAGCCCACAAACGCACGCTGGTGAAAACATAACCTCTTGCCAACCCCTTGGCGGAGGTAATTAAAACAACATGTAGGATTATTGTATCAAGAGCGTATAAAGAAGGTTCTTTATACGCTCTTGATTGTATGGATCTACTATCTTTAAAGTGATTACGTCACCGTAAAGAGTAAAAATTAAAAAAAACATTTCCACTTTTCCACAAAATATAAGTAATTCTGTAAGTCAATTGCTGCATTATACTTCCTATCTTACTATATATTGTTCGATGTGAACATACACTCGTAACCCATACATAGCCCATAGCAAGCAATTAATGTTGAGAACATTAATTCAAATCGTCCAGGTTTTTTGGATTTTTAACTAGTTGAGAAACAATCTTATCAGATGAGAATTTGACGATTTGTTTAGTCCCGTTAGTCCTTACTTTTAATGTAAAAAAATGGCAATTTTTTTTTTTACAAATTTTACCATAGAAATTTCGTGACGTAGTCCCTTTAAATATGATTGACTTGTAGGGCATAAATCTGTTACAGTGATAATGAATCGGTTTAGTGTGGAGAATTATAGGCGATAACATGGTGAGTTGGAATAATATAAGAGCTGATCGCGCCAGTCGAGCGAGGGATATATTCGTTTGATTCGAGCGTTCGATGTTCGAGAGCTGTAGCGGAAGGAAAATCATTATCGCGATGCGACGCGATAAACCGCACGACGTCTCGCTACATCAACACAGCTGCGGCTGTCGCGACATTCAGCGATGATTGATGCGAATCGCAGAGAGTTGACGCGCATTAATGTCACGTCGGTTTCGAGAGGGGACCTACTGTATGTTCGGCCACAATTAAAAAAATCTTTGTTTGCCCTCACCCGACCCAGGCTGAAAAGTTTGGGTAGGTAGGTAGGATTATTTTTTTTTACAAATTCAACATGGTGTCTACATGCTCAAGTGTGCTTGTGTGGAGATACCTTTTATGTTGAATGTTTGTTTTGCTTGGTACATATAATCAGGAGTAGATAATAGGGAACTTTTATCTCTTTAACTTTAATCTCCCTACTATCCCCTGTATTGCCTACAGATTTATATAATGTACAGTGATACAATTTGTAAAAAAAAAAAAAGAATGGGAAAGATCAATAAAAAAATTTGAGTCGGCCCCTTTTTGGTGGGCCGGTCGGGTGAGGGCAAACAAACAATATTTTTATTATGGCCAAATCCCCGGGTGTGCGTGGGCGTGTGTTGTCTCTGATCGCAGATCATTGTCTATGATCTCATGGATGAGTCTTCTTACTAGTTGGTGTTAACAGGAATTATCCGTCACTTCTAATGCGAGTATTAGAAGACGCTTCCGTGAAGCCTCGTGCTTCTGTATATATCGTAACACGGGGTTGTCTGTGACCAGAGAACAATATCACTGACAAATCTTTTTACTACGTGGTATTAAAGTGATGACGTCACCGCAAATAGTAAAAATGAAAAAAATATTTCCACTTTTTCACAAAATATAAGTAATTCTGTTCACTTTTTATGGTTAAATTGCTGCATTATACTTCTTATTTTACTATATTGTTCGATGTGAACATACACTCGTGACTCATACATAGCCCATAGCAAGCAATTAATGTCAGGAACACAATATCTAATTGTCCAGGTTTTTTGGATTTTTAACTAGTTGAGAAACAATCTTATCAGGTAAGAATTTGACGATACGTTTAGTTCCGTTAGTTCTTACTTTTAATGTAAAAAAATGGCAACAAAAATTTTACAAATTTTACCATAGAAAATTCGTAACGTAGTCAATTTAACAGAAATTATCTGTCATTTCTAACCCGCGTGCCACTATTAAATTATAGGAAAAATGCTTCCACGATGCCCCATGGTTCTGCAACTCCCTCGCAACAAAACTTATATCGTAACGTGGACTTTGTCTGCGATATCAGAATAATATCACTGAGGTTTCTTTTTGCCGCGTAATGTTAACAGCAATGATCTTTCACTTCTAACCAGTGCTTGACACTCGGGCCAAATTTATTTCTTCTGGCCCAAAATGAAAAGTGACCAATTTTCCATTGGTATTTCTACCATGACGTACAATGGTACATGACTTTAGGCCCTACAAACTTGTCACATTGGACACAAAACCACATTTGCATCAAATTGCATGCCACATTTGCAAAAACGCATGGGCACATATGGAACCACGCTAACACGGCGACAGGTTTTAAATCAGCATTATCTCCCTTTACATAGGAAAGCCGTGTCCGCCGAGTGTTGCGATAAATCGAAATCTGAGCACTTGTTTTGCGCTGTGTTAACGCCGAACAGAAATTGTACTGTAACTCGCCCAAAGATTTTATTTTGGGCCTGTAATATTTTGTTTTGGGTATTTTTTAATCGCCCAGCAGAGGTTTTGGTCGCCATTGGCGACCGGGCGACCGGCTGTGTTGAGCACTTCTAACGCGTGTAATAGATGGGGAAATGTTTCCGTGATGTGAACAGCAACGATCCATCAGTTCTAACGCGCGTGTTAGCGGCGGAAACTATTCCACGATATCTCTGGTGGTTCTGCAACTCTCCCACATCAAAACATATATATCGTAACACGCACCTTGTCCGCAAAATCGGAGCAATATCATTGACGTTTCTTTTTACCGCGTGGTGTTAACAGCAATGATCCATCGCTTCTAACACGTATGTTTGATTCGCTTTAGTTTGTTTGCTTCCGCGATCTCACAGGGTCCGCGGCATAGTAGTCGTTGCCCTCGCCCGGCCGGTCGTTATCCGCCGTAACCACGGTTACCGACGCACACTTTCTTGTTCATAACAAAGCGTACCCGTCCCTCCGCCACCCTTCATTGCCGTAACCACGGTTACTAATGCTAACGATGTTTATTGTTTTGTTTTCGCTCCGGCAGCAGCGATTTGATGAGTGGCTCGCCAGACGAGGGTGTGGATGCGAGAGCAGATCTGTCCGACCGTCTGAACGACCTCAGTCTGACCTCTATACAGGTGGGAACGCGCGCGCGTGTGTGTGTGCGTCGCTAGCGCCACCTAACCACACGCTCGCACTCTATAAACTATTGACTTCCTTCCAGCGACACTCCTGTTAATGTAAACAAACAAACAAACAAACAAACAATGACTCTAATAACTAACTAATTAACTCATATAACTAACTGACCAAACGATCAACGAGCCAGCAAACAAACAAACACACCAGATCAAACTAAACTCTACGTATGATTGATTCCAATTTTGATCGTTGATTGATTCCATGATTGACTTTCTTCCAGCGACGACCTCACCTCGCTAATCTAAACAAACAAAGTAACAAACAAACATATTAATAAATCTAATAACTAACTAATTGACTCATAATTAACCGACAAACTATCCAACAAACGAACAAACAGGCCAAACCAGACTGAACTATCGACTCCCTTCCAGCTACGACCCTCACTGACCTAACGATTGCTTTTCTTCTCCTCCCTCGACAGCGGGAGAACGGGGAGCTGGGGAAGAGGAGGAACAAGCGACCGTCGATGGAGATCTACGTCCCCAAGGCGCGCCAGCAAGGCTCCCTTCCCGTGGGAAGCCCCGGCGCGGCCTCCTCCCCCTCCTCCCTCCCCTCGGAACCTTCCCCGGAGAAGCCGGGTGGAGGTCGAAGGTCAGAGGTCGTGCAAGTGTCACGGGGAGGTGGAGAGGTCACACAAGGGTCGCAGCACGCCGGAGAGGTCGCGACAGGGTCGCAGGGCGGCGGAGAGGTCACGCAGGGGTCACAGCAACAGGAGAAAAATTTGAGGTATGGTCGACTTCTTTTTTCTCTTCTTAACAGATATATTTTGCGATAATATATAAAATAATTTTTAACATAATATCTGATATGACATGATAATATAAATATTAATGGTAATATAATCTAAGATCAGACCTGCCAACTGTTACGTATTGCCCGTAATTTGTTACGGACGCGAGTCAAAATTACGGTGTTACGGACGACCTCGAAAAATTACGGACAGCAAGAAAATCTCTGAATTTAATTTTTTTAAATGGCAAAACAAAAGAAATAAACACAGGGTAAA